CTTGTTGCAGGTGAGTCGCATGCGCAGGCTTGTTTTGGTCCCTGCTGCATGTCAGTGTTTGAAGTCAATGACGATGAGGAATGATGAATAGCCTTTGGACAAGGCAGTAGTTTATGTGAAACAAATAATGTTAATGTAATATTATTCCTCTACTATGGTTGTATGACACTTATGGTTTTGTAAGTTTGAACAACTGGTTTGTAATACTAAAACTTAAGTCTTCCGCTTTATAATCTCTGGTATATATATTGAAAACTGTTGTAATCTGCAATGACTATGATTGGGATCCTGTTTGAAAAAGATTCGTGGATGATTCGGGTTTCCCGAGGACATCCGACAGACCTGTTAAGTTGTTGGGAACTTGTGTACGCTATCTGAGGTCGGTTGTGACATCGATAGATGCACGTGGGCCCAATTTCTTAGGAGGTTCTGCCACAACAAGCATCCATACAATCATACACGAAGCAAACAATAGATCTAAATTAGAACAATACACCAATCATAGAAAAATAAGTGAAAGGGTTTGAAATACGATTCTACGCATCACTACGAACACACAAACGCGAGAGGCACACTAATCGGAGCTGTGGTGAAAAAAATACATCTACTGAAAGATTTGCTCATAGAAGAAAATATAAAACTATTAGCTTCAGGTGTTTTAATTATATATAAACATGTATAAGATATTTTATAGATAATATAATTTATGTCAAATTTAAGTTTAAAATATAATACTAAAGTAAAACAAATCATATTTGATTTATAAAATCCAGTTGCATAATCATTAATCAAGATATGATCTAAACCATGAAATTTCAGAAATAGTAATATGGTAAACACTGTTACTAACACGTAGATCTCGTTGCTATGAATCTAACGCAACTTGAATGGACTAAAACGGAGCTAAAACGCAGAAGATATGAAAAAACAAGATTTCCTTTATTAAAATAAGAGATTAAATCTAATCTCGTATTTCAAAAGTTTAAAATATATCTAACAGTAGTATGAACATGTACATTATGAAATTACGAACCTAACGCAAATTGAACGGGTCAAATCGGAGTTAAAACAGAGAAGTTATGGCTAAAATTAATGGCAAATCTGTAAATAAGTGAAAACGTTTTTTGGATATAAACCGACGAAACTACGCTTTCAAAAGAAGAAAACGTAATCTGTGATTACGCCTTGGACCGCGGGTTAATTTGCCAAAAATAGAGGGGCTCTTTAGCAAAAAGAACAGCGAAGGGGTATGTTCTAATGTGGGCCATTGATCTCAACGCGGACGGCTCAGGATGATGTGTATTTCTATTGTATTTCTAGATTTGTTTTCTTAAAGAAAAACGGCCACAAAACTCATGTATGACCTCATTTGATGTCAGCTAGCTAGCAAACTGGAACAGGCAAAGCCATGCACGGCCGGGCTGCTCTGCTAACTCCGCTCCCGCGGTGTCACGCGTTCGCGTGCGTGCATGCGGAGGGAGCGCAGGAGCTGTGCGCTCGTCACAGCTGTGCGTTGGTTACGGCGCCGCTGGAGCAGCCGGCACCGGTGAAAACACAGGGTGGCGGTAGGCGGCACGGTTTGCCTTGCAAATAAATGGCGACGTCGTACTATCGCTACAGAACGAGAGGGAGCTCACGGGAGGCACCTGCGGCATCTTTACCTCAACGCGAACCTTGACTGAAGATCCTCGATGACGGCAAGGCAGCAGGCGAGATCAAGAGCGACGGCGATGCTGTAGCTCTGGACGTGATGTGGAGGAGCTAGGGTTCTTGCGGCAGCGCTGGGTTCTGGGAAGGCGACGACGGCTCCTAGATGCAAAGAGAGGGCGTGGAGGGGCCTCGGCTTTAATAGGGCCGCACTTGACGTGGGTATCACGCCGAATGGTGATGATGGCGCGGAGGTGGACATGGACACTGTGGAGTCCACGTCGAACACGAGCCGAGGTGGGAGGCGGAGCTGACGGGCGGAGTTGGAGCAGGGGCAGACTCCCGGCTTGGGTTAGAGTCCCACTCGGCAAGGCTGGAGGTGGGAGACGACTGACATGTGGGCCCTACCGGTCAGCGACTGCGCGCAAGGGAAAGGAGACACGGTGTGGTGTGGCCTGCGCGGTGACTGGGCTGCGGCCTGGCTGGCTGGTGGCTGGCCCAAGAGCGGGACACGGGGAAGAGAAGGGAAACAGACCGCTGCTGGGCTACGGGGAAGAGAAGGGGATGGGCCAACGGTATCCAGGGGAGAGGGAAGTGAGGCGGGGAAAAAAGATTTGGGTCAGGCCAAAACGACTTGCGGGGCTAAATACAGAGAGAGAGAGAGAGAGGAGGAGAGAGGAGTAAACAAATTCTTTTTCTCATTTTTTTTTCATTCTCAAACCGAATGCAAATATGAATCAAATCAAATTTGAATAATGTTTCAAATACACTTTTCAACTTAATTAACAATGAGAAATTTTGGTAAGTTCTCAAAAATAAATTTTACAACCTTTTTAAATTCTTTTATTCTCACATTTTCTTTTTTGTTCTTTTCTTTTACTTCAAAGCCATTTTTAATTTATTTCCAAAATCAATTTAAACCATTTTGAATCTTGATTCAAAACCACTCAACCAAATAGATCAAATGCACCGGCATGTATGCACAAACATATTGCTACCTTATGATAAATTTTAAATTAATGAAAAATTTTATTTTCCTATGTTTTCATGAGCACATAAATTCAAAATTACCTCATTTTACTTCTACTTCAAAATGAGCAAATTTTTGGGTGTTACAATCCTACCCCCTTAAGATGAATCTCGTTCCCGAGATTCGGAAGACATTGACTAGGAGATAGAGATACTTTGTCTTTAGATTCCTCTCATCTTGATAAAGATCCTACTTTACTTTGCATACCTATTGACCTTACCAAAATGATTCTAAGATTTTGACAAATACTCCAACCAATACTCAAGTAACTCTAATCACTAGACCACCATTTCTTTTTAGTCCATACTTATTAGACCTCTTTGTTCACACGTTCACCTCACAACGGAGCCTCTTCTGCTTCCTTCATCGGCATCTATCCACAATCTCCACAAAGAAAGTTTAGCAACTGGTTGGCGACGACGGCCATCCCACGCACTCGTACAAAAAGGACCAGAGAAACACAGCCATGGGACATTGAAAAAGAATATGACCAGTCGTTTCAGGTTTGTCACAAACAAAGCATTCTTTGGGGCAAGACCACTGTTTCCTCTTCAGTTGCACCCCACACTGAATTCTGTCATGCACAGCCATCCACAGAAAAATCTTGACTTTTAAGGGAATGTTGCACTTCCAAATCACCATCATTTCAGAGTCAATAACATCTCCAGAAGTCATCAGTTGTATAATGAACTTGTTGAGTGACAATGAGACATCCCTTAAGAGCTCCTGTAGATTGCCCTACTCCTCTCTCAGACTCTCACTCAGTTGTCTACTAAAAGAGAGGTGCCACTGTCCATCAACAAAAGGCTTTAGCTACCTCTATGTCAGGTTGGGATGATATATGAAAGAGTTTGTGGAAACTAACTTTCAAAGGACATTCTCCTAGCTAGCATTCATGCCAGAATCTAGTTTGATGGTCAGCTCTAACATCAATACCACAATCTTTTCGGTACCAACACCTTGAAATTCAAGAGAGATCTCCAAAATTGGGAGCCTTTTCTGTTCTTGATTTGATAGATACTCCTTTGGCCCAGGTATTTCTTCCTCAACAAAGAACAAGTTTGTTATCTCCCCTTTCTAATTTATCAATCCATTTAACCAGCGGACACACATTCATGGCTCTAACATCCATGAAACCCAAGCCTCCAAACTCTTTAGGTGTATTAAGGGCTCTCTATTTGATCATGTAATATTTTCTTTTCTTGCCTGTACCTTGCCAAAAAAAACCTGGATCTGATAGAGTCTAGGAGTTGAGAATTTCCTTCATACAGCTGATATACTCCCATAGTGTACATGGGGATGGTAGATAAACAGGAATCAATTAGAGTAGATTTGCCTCCTGATGAAAGGTAGTCACATTGCCAAGTGCACAACCTCTTTTCAGTTTTCTCACTGACATATCTCAACTGAGCTTTGGAGATTTTACAATTACTAACAAGCATGCCCAAATACTTCATGGCAAAGGACCCAATCTTACAACTGACAACATAAATCCGATTTAATGAACGGTCAGTGATAAGCGTCATGGTTTTTGATCTACAAAACCCGCAGGTGGCAGTAGGATATCACTATCATTGATGGTAGCAGGTAGACAGTACTATCATTTTATTTTTTGGCAGAACAGACACTAGTATCATTGATTGTTTTTTTAACATGATACGCGGATGCTGCCCATGATTTTTTCACCTTTTTCTAGGAAACAACAGGGGATCCCCCACACGCGCGTCACATGCATGGATGTCCCATGAAATATATCTTATAGCTAGAAATAATATTTTTCAAAAGATATATTATTAGTCAAGTAGCCAGTGGAATATTTTGTGCTAGCTGTTTCCTGTCAATAACCCCACAATAATATAATGCTCAAGTGGCACTGTGCTGTGCAGGTTGTAGACGCAGAACTATTCAAATGTTTGCAGGAAATCCACGGGAAAGCCTTCCACAGCTTTATAGCAAGAAAGTTAGTTCCTGTCGTCGGCGATATCAGGGAGAACAACCTCGGCATTGCCCAGGAGTTGGCCCACAAAATCCAGGACGAAGTAGATATCATCGTAAACTCAGGCAGGGAATACCACTTTCCACGAGAGGTTCGGTTCGTGATCGAATATGTATACCAATATATTCATTAAGGCCTTGTTCAGTTCCCTGGGAACCATTCCTTGGAAAGATTCTCAGCCTAAATAGTTAGCTAATTTATATAAGCTTGATCAAGTCGGAATGATTCCTAGTCTCATTCGAAGCTAACTGAACAAGCCCTAAGGATAAATATATATTTCGATCAGCTGGATCAGGGCCACTGATATATCGCAGGTATGACGTTGCAATGGACATCAACACCCTTGGGCTGCTCCGGATCATGAGTTTCGCACAGAGGTTCCGAAGATTGAAGCTCTTCTTGCATGTGTCAACAGGTGAGGTCAAGCGAGTGTGCATGAAACTGAAGTGCATGTACTTTAATTTTTTCTTATGGTGAAACTTTGTATGTACACTATATATATGAGTTACAATCCCTCTTGGCCGGTTGACATATGTGTGTATGCTATGTATATATGTTTGTTGATCAGCATATGTGAATGGGAATAGGCAAGGCGTGGCGCTGGAGAAGCCGTTTCGAATGGGAGACTCCATAGCAAATGAGATACTATTAAGCTCAGCAGAATGCTCTTCAGAGCATGCTGCGAACGGTGCCGCTCTTCATATTGAGGCAGAGATCAAGCTGGCATTTGACCACACAATAAAATCAGATGATCAAGCTTCTTGTACTCAAGAAATGAAAGATTTAGGCTTAAAAAGGTATTGCTATATATTGAGTTGTCAATCCGCCTCATGATGCTGTGTGGTACGGTCCCAAATACATATGCATGCATGATGTAGGATTACATTAATTACATCACATGTATGTTTTGTTTGGTATGTGTTGTTTGTCATTTAATTTGTAGGGCAAAACATCATGGCTGGCAAGATACTTATGTGTTCACCAAGGCCATGGGGGAGATGGTCATCAACAGCATGCGAGGAGAGATACCGGTGGTCATTATCAGGCCGAGCGTCATTGAAAGCACCTTAAGGGACCCCTTCCCGGGTTGGATACAAGGGAATAGGTCAGTAACATATTATTATATGCTAGATATATGTCTGTGTATTGTAACGGGATCACGAATTTTTGCATTGCGCACTACTCTTACGGGGATACACGTGGCATGCGGCTTAGATGAACATATCAGTGAGAACAGACTTTTCATCAAAGGTCAAAATGGGATCTAGTTCCGGCATTTTTTGCACCCGGGACTAGAGAGACCTTTAGTCCCGGTTGGTGTCTCCAACCGGGACTAAAGGTCCCTGTCCAACGGCTACTGCGCTCGGCACAGTGGCAGGGGATCTTTAGTCCCGGTTGGAGACACCAACCGGGACTAAATGTGGACCTTTACTCCTGGTTAGAGCCACCAACCGGGACTAAAAGTCCTCCAACCTTTAGTCCCGGTTGATAACACCAACCGGGACTAAAGGGTGACCTTTTAGTCCGGGTTGATATTACGAACCGGGATTAAAGGTCTCCCACCCGGGACTAAAGGTCCCTCACGGGTCAATTTAAAAGTAGAAGCGGGGAGGACTATGTCACATGTGGTGTGCAGTTGAGTTGGTAAGGAATCTACGCGTGATGAGAGAGGTCTTGTGTTCGAATTCCACACAGCGCAAGCGGTCTCAAGGAATTCGTTTATTTTTTTAACTGAGGAGGGGGCTTTACCCGGGACTAAAGGGTCTTCCCTTTACTCCTGAATTCTTACTCCCGGTTGGGAAACCGGGATTAAAAGGGGATCCCAACCGGGAGTAGAAGCCTTCTCTCCATCAGTGTATTAAAAACCTACAAATTTAATTACATAGAAGATACAAAGCCAATTTCATGATCTTTATCATTTCTTTTTCTTAAGAAATCAAAAACTAAATCAAAAGAACCACCATCTTTCATGGCATCTTGAGTGTGCTCTAAAACCCAAGCATTAAAGCACTCCAAGAGTCTTTATCAAATTTACTCTCCAAATCTGCCATTTTTAAGTAAAAGCCACTTTCTATATGTTTGTATCGTCTTTTCTGTGTCCTGTGTACACTCTATAGAGTTGTTCTCGCTCTTCATCTTTGTCTAGTGAAAAATTCAGAATAGAGGATGTTTATATTTGGAGATCCATTTAAAGAGTTTGTTGAAGTTTTTTTCACTAAAATCTCTGTTCTTATAAATTTAGAAGGATATAAAGATTCTCTTAGAGTTGCTCTTACATAGCTTTTCCAGAAGCTAAAAAAAAGCCAATAATCATTTCTCTTAGTTTACCTGCAGTACACATGTAAATGTGCTAATCATTTAATAATTAATTTTATTAGGCTTACAAAAGCATCCGCAAATGCTCCTTTCATGTTGGAGTGGGTCCCACTGCTAATAAAGAAACAAAAATCAGTCTATCTCATCCACATATTGGCTGTGGTGCCCGGTATACTTGGCCAAATGGGCAAGCCCGCTGGGCCGGCACTAGCACGGTACTAAAAAGCATGGCCCGAGCACGGCCCAGTCCGACGCCCATCATGCATGTGCCTAGCACGAGCCAGTAGTAGTGTTGTGCCTGGGCTGCAACTTTGGCCTGTAGTGCTGGCCCAGGCACGGCACGATTATTGAGCTGCACGATGTGGCCCACTTATTCTCCACCGTTGATGAGCATGTGATGACCGAGAGCTGTTGGATATTAGTATATATGCATCTCTCTCCCCCAAACCCTAACTTCCTTCTCCTCTCTCTATCCTCTCATTTCCCCACCACGACACGCCAACGCGGACACCAGAGGGGGCCGGCGACACAGTCGCGGTGCCATGCCGTGAGGGCCTCAGGGCGGCGGTGCGGCGGCCAAGCCAATATGTAGCAGCAGCGGGTGCGTCGGCATGCGGCCTGCAACAGCAGCAGTGGAGCAGCACGCGGCCAGCGGCGGTGATGGCACATCTTCTTCTTCCCCAGCCACTCCACCTCCACCTGCAGGGATGACTCGGGCAGCACACGGTCCCAGCGGGTCGTCGTGCCCATTGGTACAACGTGGCACGACTAAGCCTCCGTAGAGCCATGCCTGGACCGCAACTCTGGCACGGCCGCATAGTGCCGTGCCTGGCGGTGTCCATGCCCGTGCAGTGGCGTGCGGCCCGGTGCATGGCATGCGCAATGGTTGTGGTGCACTGTAACTGCACAATGGTATGCTCACGTGAGTTAAAAGCAATCGCTCCAGCCTCATCCCTATCCACTCGTCTTTTCTCTGTTCATCTTCCATGCGTGTATCTCTCTCTCTCTCTCGACCATGCACCACCCTCCAGCGCCGCCGCTCACGGCTCATCAGTGTCCAGTGCCGGGCCGCCAGCAGGGAGGGAGCATGCTTTGAATAGCACCATCCGCTGGGACAAGAGCCAGAGGGGCCATGCGCCTAGGCCACCGACGCATGCAGTTTGCCGATGACCATCTCATCCAGGACATCGAACTTGCTATTGTAGTGTTGTCCCGGCGCACTGCTTTGTCCTATTTGTTGTCCCTAAAATTCTCGACTGCTCCACGGCGGCTCTTGGTGTGCGTGCGATGTGAACGACATCCTTCAGCCCGCGCGCTTGGTGACTAGTCCGCGACGCGCGGTTTTCGCTTCAGGTCCACTTGGCAGAGCTCTGGCTCCAGCTAAAACAGCTTCAATTATAGATTCTATTGTAGAGCAGCTCTTTATGGCTCTTGTTTGTTTGGTTGGAAAAGCGTTTGGTAAAACAACTTCTCCTGTCTAGTCAAATGATGAAATGTCCATATTGTCCTTTTTCTGTCCTTTTCCTTTTATTTTTCTCTTCCGGATTTCGTTTATTATGGACCGCACACCTCTCCTTTTCCTTTTATTTTTTTCTTCCTTATCCGCACGACCTCATCCACACATCGGTCGTCGTCGTCCAGGCGTTTCTTCCCCCTCCGTGTCTTCATCACCGTGCCGCTGCGCCTCCACCTCCACCACCATGCTGGCTCTAGTGCTGCCTCCAGATCCACGCCCCGATGCACCCTTGCCCTGTCTCCTCCCCAAATCAGTGCGCCCTCACCCTTCTTCCTCCCCGCGCTGCCGCCCTTCTTCCTCCCTATGCCTCTGCCCTCTGTCGCTCCGGCACTCTATGTGCCGTACCACCATCCACCTCGCCTCAGCCTGATCTCGCGTGGCGCCGGGGCCAAGCGGACCAAGGCCACGCGCTGGGCCCACGGGAACGAGAAGTAATCGGGCGAAGCTCATTTTTTTTGGCTCCAGGTGCGCGTTTGAGTTCCAGTTAGCGGATTTCGCGGGCTCCTCTCGCGGAGCTGTTGCTGACGACCCCGGTTGGTACCCGGAGCTGTAAAACGCCTCCATGAGCTGCGGTAGAATCCCTACGAAAGGGGGCCTTAGTTTCCATGAGGGAAACGAGCGAGCTCTACGATGGTCATGATGAGCCCGAGTAGGGTGTAAGACGATAGCCTTAGGTATTTTTTTAGGTGTGTGTAGATACATCATCCACCTATAGATTTTCATATTATTAGAGCAAGGCTAATATTATACTGGCGGCTGGCTGTAAGAATATTTGTAGCTTATCTCTCAGCCCGCTCATACAGTAGTAAGCTCTTCGCCATTAGTATATGGCCCACTTATTTCTCTTTTGTCTAAGCTGGATGTAAGCTTACAACCCGCTTTTTCTCTCTGCTCTACCTGAGCATTTAGCTTGCTTGCCTGTTATTATACTTGCTCTTATAGGTCATTTATTTAGTTTGAAGAGTGATTGAGATGTTGTTAGATCGATCGATGGATCGATCATCCTGTTCTAACATTGAATAATAATCCTTGGATGCTAGCTCTAAACTTGCTTCAATTCAGTGCTAGATCTGAAACCGACAGTATATATGTTATTATATCAGTAAAACCTGAAGAGTTTGTCGGACTGTTAAGTCCCTAATATAACTCCTAAGGCCACATGTGGCACCTTTCATTGTACTGTTAGCTCATGTAACATCTTTTATTTATTTTTTTACAACAAGAATTTGACTCGGTTGAAAACAAAGCTTCCTTGTATACTATGGTTATAACCGAACGAACATAATCGAAACATTAGTATCTTTCTAACAGCCCCCTCGATCTAAACTCTGGAATATAAAAGAGAGAGAAATGCTCCTGCACTCCTGCAGACCTTTTTACAAAAACCGCACGCATCCTAAAGCGTGGTTAAGAAAATAAAAGTTGTATCATTATTACTTCTTCCTTGATACGGCTTTTTTTTTATCTCATCCTTGATACGGATTTGGCACTACCCAATCCAGTCGTCCAGCCTAGCACCCGACTCACCATCGTGCAAGTAACTCTGACCCTTTGTCGTCGGTGATCCGTGTGTATGCATGGCTGGTTCGCTCATGAAGACGACTATATATTCTACTAGATGGCATCAATTATATATTCTAGATGCCATCACAATGTGACTTTGCCTCTCTAGTGTGCTGTTTGGTTACGTGGAAGAGCTGTTTGGTTAAGGCAATTCCATCCCAAATTTAATTTTCGCCAAAAGTTAAGGTTGAGTGGTTGACTATTAAATTGTCTATGTGCATGATTACCTAGCGAGTGCAAGGGAAATTTGTGTGGACATCTAAACAACTAAGTCAAGCATGAAGATAAAGCAGATTCAAATCTATGTGTTAATTTCATTGAAACCATAGCAAAAATACAAGTTAGCAACCTAAGGCTCCGAGCAGAATCCAGCTTACTGTCAAGCAATTTTATGAAGCTATTGGTGGCCATACACTGCAATGATTCTTAGAGCCGCCTCCATTTAAGGGTTGAGGCAGCTCAATCCAGCCGCCTCTATACTGCTGTCCCTTAGATCCCACTAACCAAGCCACCTCTAGATTCTCAACCGCCTCTTAATAGCAATTTATAGAGGCAGCCCACAGGCAGCGATGAAAACGGACGGAAAAACCCTATTTCTACTTCCATTTCTATTTTTTTCGCGGAAGCGGGATCAGGTTCGGAAAATGGAACCAAAATATGCGGGTGTACGGAAACGAACCAATACGGTCGGAAGCCAGGAACTTAAGCCGGAATACCGCACACCTTTATAGTCACAAATCACTGTCACACACAAAGCTGTTGTGAGGTCCTAGCTGTGAGAAAGCCGAAAGCCATTTGGTTGAGCAACTACGACTTTCGTAAAAACTGCCGTGAGCCTGTCTCACTTACAAGCATCGAGGACTTATATGAAATATATAAAATGTTTCAGGGGGTAGAATAGAATTGCAAGACACATTGAACAATGAAGAAAGAAGTGGAGGGGGGCTTTTGTAATTTGGTCTCTTCTTCCTCGAGCTGATCGGCCATGGCCGCAGGGCTGCTGCTCCTTGAGCAAGGGTGTGTAGAGGGGTCTCGGCAAGGAGCGTGGGGCGGCTGGCCAGCCTGCCGGCGGCAGTGCACGGCGCAACTGGTAGCAGAGGCGAGGTGGCAACTGTGGGAGTCTACGGCTGGTCTAGCGGTGGCCCTGGAGGGCTGGGCGACGGTGGCCTGAAGCATCCCAGCACAGCGCATTTATGCCCTGCGCCTGCCCCTGCCCCTGCGAACGTGATGGGCTAATAGAGTGACGGTGCGGCTGCAACCCCTGCACCTGAGACTGAGGGCCCCCTTTGGTTGGGTTTTCCAACCTGCTTTTGTTTTTGCAAAAGCCAAAAGCGAATCAAAGGGCCCAAAAGCAACATTCACTGCAGTACAATCCAAAAGCACCTCTCCCCTGCTTTCACTGGCTTTTGACCCCAAAAATTACCCACCTGACACAGGTTATGAGGAGAAAATAACGTTTCGCTCTCGGTTCTATACCACTCGTGTCCACTCCTCCCGTCGCCCCTTCCGCATCCACTCGAGGATCGTGCGACTGGCCATCTAGGGTTTGCCGCCACCCCCGCCGGAGGCGTGCTCCGGCCGACCGTAGCCTAGGTCAGTGCGTTCTCGTCCACCGACCGACATGTCCTTCTCCACCGACTAGTTCGCCTCCTCTCCTTCCATCCACTGCTCCCCATCCCAGGTGGTGCCGCGTGGGCCCTGCCCATCCCTAGTGGCGGCCCTAGCCCCATCCTGGCAGCGGGCCTCTGCCCCACCCCTGCCCGGTGGCGGCCCTAGCCCCATCCCGGCCTCTGCCCCGGCCCTGAGCTCGAGGAAGAAGAAAGAAGGACGAGCACATGAGTTGGAGGATGAAGGAAGAACGACGGCCCCCGTCCCCGTCTCCATCTTTGACATGGCGGGCGAGTGAGGTCCATCGAGCGAGCGTAGCTCTCCGACCGGCAAGGCGAGATCCGCTTCTCCATGGCCAGTAGTACTAATGGCCAGCAAGGCGACATCCACTACAGGCATGGTCTCGGACCCATAGGAGCGAGGGCCACCTCTGGTCGGAGCGCTGCCGCGCATGAGCTCGGCGAGGGCCACCGCGTGCCAGAGCGCCGCTACAAGCTCATCCCGTACGTGGTCAAGAAACAGGTTGACATGTGGGGTCCACTGGTCAGTGAGAGACAGTGGGGGTGGATTGTGAATGACATGTGGGTCCGCTTGTTGGTGTTTTCCAAAAGTCACAACTGTTTCACTAAATGGGCTTTTAACATTCACACATTAGCTTTTCCAAAGCCCACAGCTTACAGTAGCTCTTCCAAAAGCCACAGCTCAACCAAACAGGGCCTGAGAGTGAGTGAGACAGAGTATGTAGGTTTTCTTTAGATGGGTTCTTGGGCCTTCAGGATATGGATAAGCTAAAATGTTTCATGGGCCTAGCTAAAATTCGGTAAAAATCTGGAACAAATTTGATAAAATTCGGGAAAATACGGAATTCCGAAAATACGGGCGGAAAAACACCTTCCACGTTTCCGTTCCGATTCCGGAAAGCTCTGTTCTGCATCCTGTACTGTTTCTGGATTGTCCAACGAGCGCAGCACTATCACCCACTATTCCGACAAAGTCACGCACGGGGCATGACATAACGGGACAAAACCCCTCCGATGACTTCAGGGGCTCGGGGGCTTACGGGCCCGCTTGTCAGCCCCTAAAGCCAAATGCCTTCGCCAGCAAAGGCAGCCTCTAGAAGGTGCACCTGGTGGAGGCCGGTCCAAGACGACAAGGTCTGACTGTCAGAGTAGAGGAGCAGAGGAGCCCGACGACGCCTAGGGCTTCTCCGACTCCATGATGACGCCGAGGTCCATCCACGCCGCAGTAGTGCCCTCCTACACTCCTGCGCATATAGACCATAGACAATGCCCCCCAAACTGCCATGTACCCGACCTACCTCGGTATATAAGGGGAGCTCAGATCCTATAGAGGGGTTGGTTGAACAAAAATAGAACATGCCAGTTAGTCCTTAGGACAACTAGAGCTCTCCACCGAGAGCATGGCCACCCCGAGAGGAGTATCGAGAGCTCCTCCCTTTCCATCGTCTTCTTCCTCTCTGACGAGGAAGAGACCTCACCGCTGATGAGCTTAGGATTAGCACCAAGTGTTCCCCTGCCAAATCTCTTACACTCCTTGTTGTACCCCCCTATTTGGGTGCTCCTGTATACAAGGATCATCTGCTACTGGACTTAGGGCCTCGATAGCCTGAACCAGGATAAATTGATGCGTCCTCTCTATGTTCTTTGTGTTCTTGAGTCCACCTGAGCTAACGGAGACCCACACTTAGTGACATCTGACGAACAACAATGCTTGCCATGGTTTTGACCCAACAACAGCTGGCGCACTAGGTAGGGGAGCATGTCAAGTGTGGCTGGCTCTATGATGGCCGAAGCCACCCACCAAGTCACCAGAGTAGGCGGCGCTACCTGAGACAGCGGTGTTTGCTTCCCCGGTGAGTTCTCCGTCAAAGCCGGCGCCTTCACACCCAGCTAGGTCCTCAACTTGGGAGCCTGGCCTACGTCACCGATTTCTATGGCAAGCTTAACTCACTCAAGGAGGTTGCGCTGGTGGACAACGAGTACTTGGCGTCAGCTCCTCCATCGGGCCTCTTGGGAGCAGATCTCGAGGTCCTTGCCCGGTAGATCCGGCATGGCCTAGGCCCGAACCCCACCATGTCGGAGCACCGCCAGATGTTCTACATGCTTCCCAACATCTACTATTAGATCACCACCAGCGAGGAGCTCCCACTACCCGAGCGCTTCTGGTACTACCTACCGGACATGCCATTTGGAATCCTGAACATGACGCCCTCCTTCTAACTAGAACTGGAGCACCTCATCAGTAGACAAGTGCCATGAGGTGCCATCCTCTCTGATGTAGCAGGGACCAATGCCCCCACCCCGCTCACCTTCCTCAAGATCCTCCCGGGGAATGGCCTGTAGTACGACTTCGATGACATCG